CGTAACGCTGTTACACTTTTTTTTGGTAAATTGCTATATGCTCTTTATTTGATCTGTATTTGTCGCAATCAGTTATTTTAACTTCGAAAGAACCGTTTCTATTGCCTTTACTACTAAAGATTACGCTGATCTATACAAACAACGTTGTTGGACCTCGATCAAATTTAAAATTTCTGCTGCAGCAAACCATACTTCTGTCATAGTTTCTCAACTTTACACGGAGACTCTTAGCCACTAGAGTTTATGTGGGTACCACCTACAACAATAGTGTTGATCCAGCTCGGGGCGAAGACCCGGTCTCCATTGAGCTGGTTTTTTTTTTTTTTTTGAATATTTCTATATATGAAAATTTTTCATTTTTTTAGCCTACATCAGTAAAATTCTAATTAAGCGAATATCTTTCTACCTTTCAGTATTTATCTAAACGCACGCATCAAAAGAAAAATAAAATCTGAAAAAAGTACTAGAAATAAAAATTTCAACTCAATATTTTACAGTTTTTTTTTGAAAACATGAAGAATAATAACGAAATTCTAATGTATTATTATCAACTACTTTAACTGAATGCATTTTGAGTGTTTCTGGAATACTTTTTGCTGTTTTGAAAATACTTTCAAGTTTATTTTTTGAGGTATCAATATTGTTTTTCGTGATTTCAATGAGAATTACTTTCTTAGTTTTTTTCTTTGCAATTTTAATAAAATCTTCGGCTGATCGACATACTTCTCCTGCTAATATAGCTGACCAGACAAGACGTTTTACAGTTCCTCCGATACCATCAACCACACCTTTTCCATGAGAAGTTGCAAAAAAGTGCCAACTCAAATCAATATTATGTTCATTAGCTATCTGTACTAAATTACGAAAATGAAAACGTTGTTTAAACTGTGAAGCAGCACCATCAGAAAAACAATCTACTACTTTAATATTTGGAAGAATTGTTACAATATGATTCAAAATGATTTCCAAAGCTGCATCAACAACAAACTTATCATGTGTTATATCCGATGATGGTAAAGCAAAAGCAAAATTTTCATTTTTTGACCAAACATAAGCAGTAAATATACTCAATGGTTTTGAGTTCCAATGAGCCTTCTGAATTTCATCTTGTTCTTTCATATTAAAATTCTCGGCGAAATCAA